CCTAAGAAAGGCCTGGAAAGCTGTAATCCCTGTCTTCACAGGACCAAGGACATTTAGGGAGACAGACAGTTGTGTCTCAGTGTGCTAGGTTCCATGTGAGTGAGGATTCTCCAAGAATACAGTCTCTGGACCTTAAGTGGGTCAGGGAAGCTGTTCCTGAAGAAGGGAACATGGGGCTCCTTCTCAAAGGATGAGAAAAAGGCCACTGAAAGAAGGAAGAGCATCTTGAGCCTGCTGCCAGGCCTGGAAGGCACAGGAAGCCTGCTGAGGAGGAAATCAAATCTCCGAGATGGCTGGGACAGCGAGTGACACAGTGAGGTGACACAGACATGAGCAGAGGGCTTTATGAGCGGCTGCAGGGACTGCACTGCAGTTACTGTTTGGAGCCTGGCAGAGGGTGACGGTCTCCTCGCCAAGGCTTCTCGCCCTGCAGCACAGGTAATGGAGGCAGAGTAGCAGCCGAAGGGCAGTGGGGAGCGACGGCTGCAGGGAAGGCACACATGGCCAGATGATAGAACCGTCAGGACCTGGAGACCGGTTTCAGGGGGCGGGGTGCCAGAGAAGAAGGCACAGGCGACTCCCAGGCTCTTGTCTCAGGGGATGAGGTGGCTCATGGCGGCACTTGCTGAGCCAGGGACCCTGGAGGGGAGGGGAGAGTTGGCAGGTCAGTTACTCCCTTTGAGCCCAAAGCACTTACAAGAAATACAAGTGGAGATGCCCAGAAAGCAGGTGAATACAAGGGCCTCTCTTGGATAATGAGACTCTCACTGCCGATCCAGGACTCCTGCAGGCCTCTGATGGACTCACCATAGGACTCTGGGCTAGGAGGGTGCAAACACCAAGAGATGCTACCCAGAGGAAAGATCAGCACTGTCAGATGGCCAGAAAACACTCTGGGGGTAAAAACTGTGGCTCTGCGCCTTTGACTTGGGGTTCAGCAGTCAAAGCATGAAGCTCCTCTAAAATCAGCCAGGGGGAATCCAAGGACTCACATAAACCAACAGATCTGTCTACCTCAAAATGCTCTATGTGTCTGCCCTATAAACTGCACATTTGTCTTGGGTGGACATGGTCTTCATGATGCTGCTCCTTTTGCAAAGCCCTAATGTTTTAAGTCAGTGTTCACTGTGGCTTCATTGTGCAGCAGATCTTTGTAGCTTAACACTCATTATGCCTCAAAGTCCCTTATTTTTGGTCTACAGCTTGAACAAAACAAAACAAAAAAAACGTCTATACCGCCTGCCTCACAAGCACAAGGTCCTAAGTTCAATCCCTGCTACAAAAAGAAAAAAAGGTATGGGCTAGAAATAATGGATTTCAGGTCACGTGGGCTGCCCAGGAAATGAAATAGAAAAATGCCACACACTGAATAGAGAGTAGTAAGGCACTTCATTGTAGAAATGGTTATGAAAAATTCTGCTTTAGAAAAAAAAGAAAAAGAAAATTTGTTTAAACAACTTAGCGATCCCAGCATCGCTAAATCACCTGACCTCAGAAGACACCTACCCCCATTCCATTAGATCCCACGGGACTACAATGTGTAGAACATGTTCTGATAAATAATATTCAGGCATTTTGCAAGGAGAAATAAGTTTATCAGTACCACTTTTGTTGAAGTACTCGTGTTTTATAACACAGATGAGATCAGTTGGGCTACAGGACTTCTTAGTTATCCCTCCTGAAGTAATGTTAGGGCTTCTGTCTGGATGTCCCCAGAGCCTCCTGTGCCCATAGTTGGGGCTTTGAGGAGGTGGCTTGGTCATGCAGTGTGATGCTCAGAGTGGATCCGCCCACTGAGCAGTGTACAGCTAATTGTGACACTGCAAATTGAAGCCTGCTTGGAGGAGGCAGCCGCTGGGCCCGGAAGGCTCTATCTCCCTCCTCTTCCCCGGATCTCTCTGCTTCCTGCCACCGTGCCATGCAGGCGTCCCGCTGCCGTGCCACTCTGTTTTGGAGCCAGTCAGTAATGGACTGAGATCTCTACACGTGGTGAGCCCAAATAAACTTCTCCTCCTCTAAATTGTGGGCGTTGAGTATTGTGGAGTATTGTGGCTGCGTCATGAGAAAAGGACTGAGACAAGGAGCTCCACTCCCAGAAGCCTTGTAAACACAAGTACTACTACACGTCTCGACACAGGAGCTGCTGCTGCAGACCTAGCATCCAGGAGAAACTTCCCGACCTCGACAGCGGCAAGCCATTCCATCAGAAGCACCGGGCACACTGCGAGCCTGGGCTACACACACCTCCCCAGGAGCAATTGCGCATGGCCATCTAATGCACAAATCAGATTCACAGACCCAAATCCCAGGTGAGCAAGATCTTGCTCTCTAACCCACCAAAGAAACTTGAATCCAACTAATGATGGCCAAAGTGACAATGCTCCTGTAGCCACAAGTCCTTTGTGCCTGGAGTGTGTAGGAAGTTCACCCAGCTGTCGGTAGCTACGGCCAGTCTCCAGTGCCTGCGACGTTCTAGATTCTGGGTGCGTCACGGGCTCTGCACCTCTCCGAGGACCCCGCTGAGTTCTGTTGCCATCGTGTTTGAGGCTGTGTTAGTGAATCACGATGTTTTCTTCTGAAATTTATGATTTAAATGTTTCTATTTAAATTCTCTTTGAATAGGGAAAGAGTAATAGTGAAGGATTCTGAAGACATGTTTATGGTAGAAAGAACATAAACGAAGAGGTTACTGATTAGGGATTTTTCCTTCACTAGCTGTATAACCCTAGGACACTCACTCTGTTTCTGTAGTTTTCCAGTTATAAAATGAGCACAATTATCCCTACCCTTTCGGTCCCACACTGTCGCCTACTGAGCCAATAAATTCGTGTGCATGAGAACACTTTGGAAACAGCAGGGTCACACACAAATACAAAAGAAGGTGGTGCTGTTGGCAGACATCGTACACGACCAGTGAGGACCTACAATTCCGTTGTATGGCAGTGAGCTGTATGTGACAGCAGCCAGAGTCAGGGAGGTACCCAGGGTCTATCAGACTCGCCGCCTTCATCTGTGGACTGTCCGGTTTTACAGCATTGCTACCAGGTTGTCTCAATTTAACACGGTACACCCCACAGCTGAGTTGTTTCCCACCGCTCATGCCACACAGCCCAACAACTGTACATTCAAGTAAATCGGGGTTTAGGCATAACTTGTATCAGCCGAGTAACTGCTTCGCCTGTTGGCATTTGTTATTCTTTGCAGCTCCTCGTGACCCGCATTAAAAGCATGGCTATTGCAGAAGTGGAAGGATAGTTCTGGCTAGGTTTTTAAAGAAACCAGATTTTGAAAACATTATACTGTGAGTTATCTGCCTGAGGATAAATAGAAAAGAAGAAGGGCACCTCCCTCTTGAGCCCAGCCTCCCTTCCCCAAGCGCGTGCCTGTTCTCCCAGCCAGCTCCACAGCTTTCTTTAGAAGCCACATCCACGGGGGTAGGCAGGCAGCTGTGCTAATCATAGCATGGACCTACAGCCCTCGCTGTCCTCCCTGTCACCGAACCCTAACGGACTCCAGCAGAAGAAGCAGAGTAACAAACAATTTCATCTCCCTTTCTGCATTTAGGAGGGTATTTGGGACAAAAGCAAATATATTTCATTAACCCTCCTGAAGTAAAACCTGAATGTACATCAAGGTGAGATGTCAGTGTAACTCCAGTAATGTGCCATGTGAGCCACATTGTGCAGCCTAACAAATATAAAAACATTTAAAAGCCTCAATTTAAAAAATTAGATGCTAAAGAACTCAAACAAAGAAGACTATACTTGAAAGAAGAAAGTTGGAGCTATGACTAGGTTTAGTAATTCATTCAAGTGATATTTATTGTCTGAAATTTATTTATTTTTAAATAAATATACCTACTGTGGTCAAAGATGAATAAACATAGCAGTCACGGTTTGTTTTATACACTGTAACAAGTTCAATGAAAGGCATACTGAGAGAAACACAAGAGGAGAGCCTGCTTTGATGGGGATCAGAAAAGGCCTGTCAGAGCACTCAAGCTCAGAACTGGAGAGAAACCAGGCTAAAAAAAAAAGAGCAATTGCAAAAGCCTAAAGTCTTGAGGAAGCTTGGCATGACTGAGGACCCGTAGGGAGAGGAAGTTAGTTAAATATTGACAGGACTGGCAGTATGCTGGAGTTCAACTTAAATACAAAGGAAAGCTTTCAAGGATTTTAGGCAGAGGAGTGAATGAATGAGATTTATTATTTGAAGTCAAGAGGGGAAAGCGGAAAGATCAACTGAGTGGTGGAAATAACAGGCCAGGCAGGAAAGGCTGGTTGCATGACAGGGCTGGTCTCAGGAGAGGAGAGAAGTGGGCGTTTGGTGTGTATTAAGGAGGCAGAATGGAGAGAATCTGGTCACAACTGGAAACCTGGAGTAAAGCAGTTGAAGAAATCAAGACCAGAATTTGCTGCCCCAAAACATGAAAGATTGTTGAGCTACAGACAATCCAGAGGAAGGAAATCAAGGAAAGCTCTCTGTCCTCCCTCTGTTTGCCTAAGACAGAACATGAGATTACAAAGACGGAAGATGTCCTGCCTTCCCTGCCTACCAGGCAGAGTGAAGACTAACCTTGAAGGCAACCCTAGGCCGTCCTTGGGTAGAGATGGTTCCAGGGGGACCCACACTGACAAGCTCCACTAATTGGCCTTTAGCAGCCACTTACTCGCCTTCACCTCAGAAGTCTCCAGTAAGGACTTATAGTCCTTCCTCTTTGTCTTGTCCCTTCTCTGAAAACATCCTGCTCTTTGTGGGAGATCCTGGAAACTGGATTCAGAGCCACCTTTTTGAGGTCTCCTCATTCCCTGGTTGTTTCCCTCGTGTTCATAGATTCCTACTTGTTTGTCTGTCTTTTCTTACAGGAGTCTGTTCCAAAAAAGAAGTTCTGAGGATTGAATAAACAATTACTTTTCCTTCCCTCCGACTCCTTGGTCTGGCTTGAGCGAGAAGATAGGCAGTGAAACGTGCCAGGCCTTGTGAGGTCCAGGGCGACTCACCAGAGTCCTGAGCACTGTCCTCTGGCTGGGGCTGCACAAGTGGATGCACCACTTTCAGCTCACCAGGAGGTGTGAGTGAGGGGTTGAGGTGAATTCTAACCATGTCCTTCCCGGTGCGTTTGTTGGCTATCCAAATTGCCTTCCTTTTCCATGTTGAGTAGAAGAGATGGTCACCAAAAAGGGACATTGCAAACAGATGGTGCCTGAAAAACAAGAAGAAAGAAAAAAGAAGCCCCATATGGCAGACTATTTGTTCCTGGAATTAGTAAAGTTTCACTTCCTTTCCATTTGTTGTATTAAATTCAGTCACCTACCTTTTTGGTTGATTCTCATGTAGGTTTGGAAACATTGTTTAAGTTTTCACTTATGTCATCATTATCTAAACTAACACAACCTAATTTCTAGCTCAGATTACTTCTCATTCTTTTGTTCGTCATCATGTTAGCACAATGAAAATGAGGGAGAAAATAGGAACAGGATAAGGCAGATTTCTGGCTTTATCGATGTCACACTTGGCCAATTTCTGCCTTTGACACAAGGTAGAAAGTCAGTTACTGGCACACTAGCAAGTCAGATGAAAGGTAGGCACTGCAGAGCGTGACAGCCTAACTCCAAGAAAAAAAAAAAAAAAAAAACAACTATGACCAATGTCTGAGAATGTATTATGTCAGATATTCCGCTATTTTTGTTTGCATTTCTTCACCTCATCTTCCCAGTAACTCCAAGAAACAGGTTCTATTATTGTTCTCACCTTCACAAAAACTAAGGATAAATTATGTTAGCCTTTGCAAAATCATTCCCCTAATAATTATTTGGTAAATCTGGAACTGGGACTCAAGTCTTTTGGATCACAAAATTCTACGTGCTACATTAATTACCACACCAGTGTAGTTGGTAAAGTAATTTATCACACACACTTCAAGGGACCATTGTGTTATTTTACACCGAAAGCAAAACTCACTGTGTTGGATATTTGCTGAGCTGGATAGAACCTCCATTATAATCACAGGAACAAATACAAGAATTACTTCCTTCTCTATTTTCCTGAATCCAAAAGAGACGTTTATTGAGCACATCCAGTGACATAGCTTTTACTTTCTCTGGTGTCACCAACAGAGTCTTCACTTCTACGCCACTGAGATCTGCTCTGTGAAGGCTGCCAGCTGCCTCTGAAGACCAAAATATAAACCTGTAGGCAGAGACATCACACAAACCCAAAACTTGATCAATGGAGAGTCACAGAAAGGACAGGCCCTTCCTGCACCCCAGCAGCCCCTACCTCCTGCACAGGAAGAGGTTGGCTATTTGAATGAAAATGCAATTCACCAAGTATGTATTGGCTATTATGGAAATTCCATGTGATTTCCAGGTAAAGGAATTATGCTTCTATTGCAAAAAAAAAAAAAAAATCATGGTAGTTATCCATGTTTTAGAAGGAGCCTTTCTGGGTTCAAACGCACGCAATGGTCCCAAGGTGCTGTCTTTTGTAGAGAACCTTAGTCTCAAGCGTGTGGTCCCTTTAACTTCAAAATGTTATGTTTCTAGGAATCTTCATTAGATTTGAGATTTATTTCAGTGTCTGAAAACTGCAGAATTTACCTTTCTACTGGATCAACTGCCATATTTGCGGGATGTTTTACGGTGCTTAAAAGAACACGGGAATTGTTTCCTTTCATATCTGTTACTGTAATGATTCCTTCCTGTTGATTTGACCAAATAACTTCTTCATTTATCCAATTTATTGCCATTCCAGAAACATTTTTCTCTATACTGCACACTTTCTGTAAAATCAAATTTTAAAGCTGTTATTAATATTTCCTCATTTACAACAAAATTATTCTATTGTAGAATAGAAAAAGCCTATTCTTTTAAGTACTTGACATTTTTATGTATTCCTAGGTTTTAATTCATCAGTGTTAACCCTCAACCACCACCACCCACATGACAATTAGTGGCATAGCATTTGTATCATGGCTCTGAAACTAAAACATTGTCCTAGACACTATGAAAAGTAGGCAGTCAACCATAATTATTAATTTCAACTATAGTGACTGTAGGATTTTGAAGCTGCCTTAAAATTAGTTTATTTGATTTCGCTTTTTAGTAGAATTGCCCAGGTCCGCACCTGAACATAATTCCAAGTTTTGCCAAACTCTAGCAAGTTTCCCTTGGCATTTGAGCATGGAGCTGTGTGGTGGGTGGATTTCTTTTAAGGCTGTCATTCTTCTCCCAGCCCTCCTCCTCCATCAGGCCTCTTCCTTTCTACAGAGCTCAGCAGTGAAAGCAGCAGCGCTCTTTTTGGGTTGTTCTGCATCTCAGACAAAGCAATCCAGCCAACCCATTTAAAAAACTGCTAGTGTATTTCATCATTATCTAAACTAATACAGCCTAATTTCTAGCTCAGATTACTTCTCATTCTTCTGTTAGTCATCATGTTAGCACAATGAAAATGAGGGCAAAAACAGGAACAGGATAAGGGCAGATTTCTAGTTTTATCTATGTCACACTTGGCTCATTTCTGCCTTTGACACAAGGTAGAAAGTCAGTTACTGGCACCCTGGCAAGTCAGATGAAAGGTAGGCACTGTGCAGAACACGACAGCCTAACTTCCAGATATTATTAGTCCTCCCAGATAAATTGTTTGTATTTTAACATTTGCCCTTTATAAACAATATTTTAACTCAAAGGAGGAAATACAGTGGTGGACTTCCAGGCAGCAGGCCTGTCTTTTCCTAATGGCATAAATTCACAGCTGTTCACACTTTTTCTTGTCTGTGACAGGAAGCCCTGCAGATTCTCAGCCTCCAGATTCTGGACGCACTCTACCAGGTGGCTGGAGAATAATGAGTAGCCATACTTAAAAGTGAGATTAGCAAGTATTACAGATGTGATAAAACAGATTAGCACCTAATTGAAGCTTTGAGGGATAATTGGGGGAGGAAGATTGTGTTGAGAAGAAAACAGTAGGCCCTGCTTCGGAGTAAATGCTTTGGGTTGTGCTGATCACATGCTGACTGTAATCCTCTCCAAAGGAGGGTGAGAACATTCCTCCTGGGGCTCGTTTAAGAGTTCTACCCGTGGAAAAGCAAGATTAAGGATCCTTTGTACATACTTGAAGTACAATACTTTGTATCTGTCATCTCCCTTATTTTCTATTCCATAGTACAAACACTTTGAAGATTAAAAAGGAAAAAATGTTGTTCCTAAATGTCAGGTGATTTTTCCCCTACATGACAGAGACTTTTCTAGAGAGAAACCCTGTTTTCTCCGGCTCAGCACTGACACTTTGGGCCGGACCATTCTTCATCAGGGGCTGCCCTACATAGTGTAGGGTGTAGAAAGCCCCATGACCTCCACCCATTTCATGTCCTCCCATCTCAGCTGTGACGACCACAGATGTCTTCAGACATTGCCAAATGTCAGCCCTACCCCTGAAGGAGAGGGGCACAAAACACCCTCCAGTTGAGAACCACTGGGGTAGAAAAAAGTCCTGCCGATAATCTGTTTCAATCATAACTGCCCTAATAACTTAGATATGTTCAACGTTACATTCGTGTCCTCATGTTCTCCTTTTGAGGGCTTAGCATACCAGTCTGTGCACCTCCTCAATACTACAGCACCATAAGTACAGACTAAACCCCTACATGTGGCAGAAAACCATGTGGCTGTAATGTGTTTTCAGTTGTCTGTACATCGCGTTGGTCAGCCTGCGCCTAAATCCCTCAAATACCATGGGTAATGGTCCTTTACCTCTTGCCTTGACCCGTTCAGAAAAACTCTCTGCAGAAGTTGTGTTTCTAAGTCTACCCAGTAGATTCTTTCCTCCTTGTAATGAAAATCCATGATCACTGAGACACCAGCATCCACCACCAGTTGCTCATGATTGGTTCCTTCTGGGTCAATCCTAAAGATGCTGTTTCCATGGCAGAAAATTAAGAAGGGTGCAGGACCTGAGGAGGAAGACAGAAACCAAAGCGTATTGTCTTCAGTGACATTTTATCTGATGGAGACAGAACGCTGCACTCTGCCACCGGCTCAAGCAAAGTTAGTATTTAATTCCAATAGTAAAAATTATTGCATGGCGAATAAAGAGTTCCCGTAGATGCTCACAGTTAATTTTCTTGTTTGTTTTTGTTTTGTTGTTGTTGTTTTGGGTACCAGGGATCGAACTCAGGTCCCTGCACTTGCGAGGCAGGCCACTGAACCGCTGAGCGAAATCCCCGGCCCTCACAGTTAATTTTGTAAAGCATCTTCTCCATAAATTGACTGTAAAAAATGAGCATTGCCAAATTATGAAAATGAACTACTTCAAGATAAAGATACTTTTTCCTCTAAAATTCCTTTTTACATTAAAAAAAAAGCCACAGACTGTGTCCTATTATGGAAAGGGTCTCTTTGAGTGTTAGTTTTAATCGCATCAATTAGAAGTAAATTTACAGATATGACTTTGGAAATAGCCTTTCTCCCCCAGCCTTTCCTTATAACTTGAGCCATCCAGGTGGTGACATGGGACGTGGTAGGAGCTGGGGGCTCGTGTGGAAGTGGGGAAAGTTGAATGCCATTCCTTACGTTGGGAAATGCTTTGACCTGCTTATTAGCATTGTCATAGAAAATATAGGATGCTCAGCTCAATTAAAAGTGCATATACAGGCTGAGCGTCCCTGATCTGAAATCCAAAATTCTCAAAAATCTAAAACTTTTGAGCCCTACACGAGGCCACAAGAGAGAAATTCCACACTTGACCCCACGTGCCAAGTAGCAGTCAAAACAAAGGTGTAAAAATATTGTTTGATAATTGTTTTCAGGCTGTTTGTATAAGGCACATGTAAAAAACATAAGTGAGTTTGTGTTTAGATGTGAGTCCCAGCCCCAAAATTTCCATATATATATGCAAATATTCTAAATCCCAACATAAAATGATCCAAAAATCACTCCGTCCTGAGCATTTCAGATGAAGGATATTCAAACTGTACATTGTTCGGGACTTACAATAAAAAATTATTTTCTCTTTACCTAAAATTCAAATTTAACCAACACAGGGTTTTTATTTGCTAAATCTTGGTGCTGGATTTCCCTGGGCTCCTTGGTGTCACAGGGCCTTGCTCTGAACCCTCACGCTCTACCTGGCCCTGTCCTAGCCTAGGCTGTGGACACCTACCCACCCTGACTCTCCAGTTCTCAGCACCCACTTGCGACCCTGCTCCCCTCTTTGGAAACGCAGCTCTAACGGCTGACTGACCCAAACCCAGCTTGCCGTGCCCGCTCCCAGATGACACCAGTTGGTGATCTATCGCCAGTACTGGGCTCACCTCCTTGGTCTCCTTGCAGCAGAAGGGAGGATCCTCCAGCCACTCTCCCTTTAGAAAACGATGAACCATTGGGCTGTGTTGGGGGAGTGGAGATTTCCAGCAAGTTCTAGCTTCCCTGCTGGGCTTACTCTATTCTGTTTGAATGCTAAACCTGAAACTTTAATGGGACTTCATAAATGCGTTTATTGTTCTAAGGATTAAACCAAATGGTAGATTAACATGTTCCTAAGGGATCATGTTCTAAAGTCAGACAGCATCAGCTCTGTGTTAGAGGATACACGAGAACGGAGGCAGCAGAGGCAGGAGCGCTGTGGAGTCGGGAGCAGTTCAAACAGGTGCCGCTGCAGACGGCCGTAGGAAAGCGCCCAGACCTTCCCCTATCTTTGTGTTGACACCAGTGCCCCACACAGCCCTCAGGGCCCACACTCCATGCCGCTGCCGTGGAAGCCCAGAGGCATCTTGAGAGAAATGGAAAGGCTGCTGGACCAGGGGCCAGGAGGCCTGGCTTCCTGTCCTGGTGGACAAGCCTCTGAACCTGTCCTCTGCAACTACTGATGAGAGAAAGGGAACCGTACCTGTGGGCGTTTTGGTGATCGTGGAGGACTTACGCACACGGAATTTGCCATTGCTTGTTCCCAAGATTTCACAACATAGGTTTGTGCTGCAGCTTCGACTTGGTCCCCGACACTGGGTGCTGGTGTCTAGAACCCCTTTCTTACTCGGTGAGGGGAGACCCTAGGAACGAGCATCCTAAGTGCACAGCTCCTCGTGTGGCCACAGTGACGCAGGCGTACGGCTTTATTCCAGGGAGTCCCTTTTGATAAGTGCCTCATGCCTTCTTTATAAACTTAATAAGTGTGCCCAACATGTAGTTGTTAACTTTCTAATGCATCAGTAAAACATTTCATTCATTTAGCAATATTACAAAGGAGCAGTTTTCAGGTTAAAAAAAAGGAAAAAGAAAAACAGGCAAAGGCATTCTGATTATTTTAATATTCCTCACCCCAGAACATAGTAAAATTCTTTGTACATAATAGGTCATCAAAACCTTTGAATAAAAAAAATTAATAAATAATAATTGTATTTTATTTGTCTGGGCTTTTACCGATAGGAACAAAGCCAAAGAATTTAATAAATCTATCAAGTTCAAAAAGAAGCGTCTATCCCATGGCAATTATTTTACAGACAACAGTAATAATGGTAACTACAAATTTTCACATCATGACGACATTTGTCCTCAATATGATGCCACGAACGAGACAAACCAAATATTAGTCAGTAAATCAAAGAGAAATCTGAAGAATATTTAGATCGATAAAACAAATTATAGAATTAATGTTTATAACTATTCAGAACAAATTCAAACAATTCTAAAAATGCTACAGCTATGATGAGTTAATAATGTATTTCATCCTCAGGTTTTACTTTCCAAGAATGAATGGGAGCATCGAGCTAAAAAGAAGAAATGGGAAGAGTTTCCCACAGCCCCACCGCTGCTTGGCAGCAAAGTTGGAAAGAGAACCGGGTGCTGCTCCCGCCCAGGGCCCTCTCAGCTCTTTCCTGTCTCCGTCTCACCGTCCCTGTGCGGAGACACCGCCATCTTCATTCTACTCAAGTAACTGATAAAACCTTGCTCATTTCCCCTATACTGCCAGTGTTGTTTTGCATAAACCAGGACCCTCTGTAGACATGAAATATAGTAGGATTTAAAACCAAACCCTTTGAGAACTGGGCTTGGTAAAATAATAGTCCTTACTCTGCACCATCGCTGGAGATGCCAAATAATTAAAGTTCTCTCAGCCCCATCCAGGTCTCCATAACAGCGGTGTGTGGTGCAGTCCTTCAGTGTCAGCACAGCATGCGTGTTTGAACAGAGAACAGCTTCCCTATGTGTCAAACCCTATAGCATTTGTTTTGGGTGCAGTTCAGTAAGAAGGAAGCTCGTAGAAAGTCAATATCATTTCTAAAGAACAAACCCAAAGACAGCAGTCAGGTCACAGCAAATCAATTGGTACTTCTGCTTTCTTAACCTAGGAATTAGAGGGACCATCAGGGATTACAAAGGTGTCCAGTGTTTGGAGCATATTAACGCCTTTCATTATTACCGCAAGAGCTGAGGCCTCCCTGGCAAAGACTGAGTGACAAACTGGCAGGCTGTGAGTGGAGCTGGCAGCAGAAACAGAACATTTCACAAGCCACAACCCTGCGCTCCCTCAGTCTGTGGGAATGGCCCACACAGTGAGTGAGTGAGTAGAGTCACTGACCCACAAGGCCTTGGGGCAAAGGCTCATGGGAGCTGGGTGACACAAATGGCACAAAATAGGTCCGCAAGAATCCTCATCTTCCCTCAGGCCCACACTGTCACGGCCCTCATCACCACGAATTTCTTGCCCAACTGTAGGAAAAGCACAAAGTCTCACAGGACAAAGGTGCAAATGGTCTTTCAAGATTCAGTGACACCATGAGAAAAGAGATTAGTTCCAAAGGGATGGACCAGCTGTGAGATGGCAGGCTGCCGTCTTCTCCCACAGTGATCAGCTCCCAAGGTGAGTCAGCTCCAGATAGCGGTCTCTGCCACTCCCCAGGGCGCCGACCAAATGATACCTCAGACTTTATGAAGGGCGGAGAGTTTTATTTCATGCTGAAAGACCAGCTCATCTCTTTTTATGATATGATTCTTAAAAGGATGCCAATTTATTTTGGGCAGGCAATCACAGCTTTCCTCTGTGCTTATTTATTACTATTAAGTTTCGAGGCAGGAGAGAAAAAGGCAGGTGACTCAGAAGTGATACACCCAGAATGTAAATAACTTAAAAAGCGGAACAAAAGAAAGATGGTAGGAAATAGGGAGGCAGACTTTGCGGGTTGGAAAGGGGTCTGGGAGTGGCATAACAATGGCCAAGATGCAATGTCACACGTACCGACTCCCCAAGATGACTATAATTATTATGCATCACAAACATTTACCAGCAGTAATAAGAAAGGAAGAGTATATCCAGAAAGAAGAACCGGAAGAATTGCATTTACGTCTTAACTCTAAAGAACGCTCTAGAGCTTGATTTTCTTTCCTGAAAACTCTGAATGGGGATTTTGCCACCAGAGACGCTCTAGCGACAGAAAGGGTCCCACAGAGCAGCAAACAACCCCTGTCCTCCTCAGCCACATCCACCTGCAGGCTGCAGAGGTTTACACCCAGGCCCTCAGAGAGTGACTGAGCTAAGGAGGTTCTGCACAATTAAACTTCTTTTTTCCAGGAGGAATTCTCAGAGTCTTTAATGTGCGATCAGTACATTTTTAGGGTTCCAAGAAGGTCGGTGCTGAATTCCATCAGAACAGTAATAGTACAGGTAAAATGCACTATTTCATTTAATCAAGTAACACTAGGAAGCAAACACTCTCCTCATCTCCCTTTTATAGAAGAAGACACTGGAGTTTAAAGCAGTTACTTGCCGTAGGTCACAAGACCAATGCAACTGAGTAGGGGCCCAAAGCTTGTCTTTCTCACAGTCTCCGATCCTGAATCCGGGCTGGCCTGCTGACTCGGAACCAAATGCACAAGGAACTCATAGCGTTCAGTGTCCTGTAGTTCAACTGCGTCCATAACCTTAGTAAATGCGCTCTTAAATACTACAGCTTTGAAC